AGAGAGAGAGAGAGAGAGAGAGAGAGATAGATAAAAAGCAGACTCGTTAATAAATAATTTAAACCGTCATTTTCTGACATATTTCAGATTCATAACAGCACGATTTGTTCTATATATCACATCTAAGAGCCCCATCTGAAGATATTTATTTTCATTTTGAAATGTTTGGAATCAAGTATTCGATCGTTTGGTATGGGATCATACGTATAAACACAGGTCAGGAAGAGAAGATCGAACGAAATATTACGTGATTGATAATTACAGATATTTTCCGACAGAAAAAAAAAATCTATAAAAGAACTTTGCTCTTTTCCAAGATCGAATTTCGCGTTTATCCCCAGCAACCACTTTTCCTTCTTTTGATTTGAAAGAGATTTAATCAAAAGAGCACGCCACCTCGCGGAGGCACTTGGCAATAAATGAAGCCGAATACGAGTTGTCTTTTATGTGATACTATCTTTATTCATTTCTGCGCATATAACGCACGCAGGCATACGCATACAAACAAACGTACACACACAATGTCGCAGTTGGAAATACATAGAGATAAACAAGTAAAGAGACGCACAAAATATAAAAACAAAAACTGGTACATATAGAAATATTTACGGAAAAAACACACAGAAAATACAAGGGTATGCACAAATGGAAATATAAACACGCACAGACGCGCGCACAAGTGCACACATACATACACGCACACATACACACAGACATATGCAAAAACAGGCACACAAAGCCACACGCACAAACACACACGCACACACAAATATAAATACGCACCTAATAAATATACATTTCATTTATGTGCCATCTTCGCCTTTCAGTCTTTTGTTCGTCTAAGTAATTTTGAACTCTTTACTATCCCTCTTTGTCATTGCACTCCATTCATACGAACTCGTTAAGGAGAGTGCTTTGGACCTTCAGAACGTTGGCGATCATGGCTCTTCACAATTTCATGTCATTTGTTGCTCTACATAAATTTTGTCTTTATGTTATCTCTCCTAAACTTTGTTCCGATATCCATTTGCTCAAGCTCACAGGGGAGGTTATCTGTTGTTTTCATTTGACCCTCCTACCTTTAATCTGTCCTGTGGGTGTATAAGATTTTCCAAGCCCTCTTTTCTTGTTATTTGCTCTAGAAGTTTCAACAGTCTCTTCTTGATGTTAATTTTTTTTGTTTCTTTTTTTTCAAAAAAGTTGTCATTGCTCACATGTTCTATCCATGATATCCTCATGATCCTTCTACAGAACGTCATTTCTGTTGCTTCAAGTCTCTTCTTCATCCGTGAAGAAATTGTCTAACATTCACTGCCATACAGGAGAACTGATACTACGTAACATTTCAATACTCTTTTATTTATTTCTAAAAATATTTTTTCTGTTTCTTAATAATTTGCTTAGATTTAGGACTGCATCTTTGGCTACCCCGATATGCCTTCGGATTTCAGTGTCGCACTTTCCGTCCCCAGATATTTTATTCGTTGTTTTTCTTACATTTTTCGCCTTCAATACGTCAATTGTCTCTTTCTGATTGTAAGTATATGTTGCCTTGTTACTATTTTCTTTAAGACTTCTTCATTGATCTCATCTTATGTCTATAGCATTCGTTGGTAGAATCTTATCATTGTCGCTTCAACTCTCATCTTCATCTGTGAGGAAGTTGGCCAGTATTATTTATTTTAATCATTTCACTCCAAGCAAAACGTTAAAGCCACTAAAATCAAGGGGTTACTGAGAATGTAAGAAACCGAGAAAAATTTATTGAGGAGAGAGGACAATAAAAGAACAGCGTTCATGGCGACAGAAGATGATAGTTGACATTGCATTCGCATTTTTGAAGATCAAAGTTGACTGGAAAGCAAGAAGTGTGTGAGAAGAATCTATTAAGCACGGTTACTTCTACAATTTTAGCAGTAAAATCATGAGACCTAACTGCCTGTCTAGTACTGCGCTTAAATTCGTGAAGACGGGATACCATATTGGAGAGTAGATATTAAATTGCAATTCAGCGCTCATTTAAAAAAAAAACAACATTTCTATGGAAATTTCCCTATGTCTTAATACTTTGCTTAGTTTCTGGAAGACATCTTTGGCTATGCCTATGAGTCGTCTGTTACTACATTTGGATGTATAGGTGGTGTAAAGATTAGAAGCTCGGAACGGTTGACATCGTTACATTCACTTTTACGCAAATACCATTGGGAAAAGTGTGATCTTCTTCTCCGCGCTATGGGTTAAATAATAGATCAGACTGGACTCTCTAGTCGTTGTTGGCAACCAGCATATAAGACAAGAATAACGCTGAATATAAAACTGTATGCTGACTTTCAGGGCACATACTTGAACTGTAACTAATGTCCGTTCAGCGTGGTTGCAGTATAAACCACATGTTGGCTTTATGGGTGTTGAAGACACACAAATGGGCTTGACTAGACGGATATGCTCGAAATCGAACCGGCAATGTGAAAATGAGCAATCACACTGATTTGCAGTGTGTCTTCAAGACGAAAAATCTCTGATGATGTTACTACATTAACCAATTTAAATTAAAAAAATTAAAATTAATTAATGTTAAATTTCTTTACCTGTTTGATTTTAACGACTCCAATACGTAGTTCACATTTTTTGTTGTTTCTTTTGCTGACGACTATGCATTCTGTCTTCTTAAAGTTAATAGTTAGTCCTTTCTTCTTGTTTTCCATTACTACCTTGTCTAAGAGTTCTTTCACTTCTGAGTTTGGCACCAACATTGTCATCTGTGTATGTTATTTTCATCTACCCTACTCAATTATTTGCGCGTACTTTTGTAGTAGTAGTAGTAGTAGTACTAATACTACATCTACTACTACTATTACCACTCTAGCATAGTGCTATTAATACCATACACTAAAACACGCTGTAAAGCAGCATTTAAAGCTTACAATGTTTCCAAATAGTAGTCACTTGGTTCCCTGGGGAGGAAAATTAAAAGAAATGTAAGGACCAATCACCTCAACCCATGGAATAATTCGATTACAGAAACCGCACGAAAGGCTTTATATGCCACGGTGGACCTGGCAAATAGCTACAGTATGAGTATAAGGAAAAAAATCTAAGAGATGGCAATTCAAAATGGGGAAGTAATTGAAAAACAAACAAACTGGGATTGCAAGTGAAGGAATGGAATATGGAACTCACTGTTCTAAATCCACCATTCATTGCTGTAAAACCTTGTCTATTCTTTTAAGTTTAGCTTATAATTAAAAACTGTTGCTATTATTGGAAGGAAACTACGTTGTTTGTGATCATGTACATTTTTATGATTTTGCATTTTAAATTCTATTCCATCTACATCTCATTAACGTTTGGAAATGATTCATTGCGTGATTCATAAAACATTGTCAATTACTTCAATGAAGAACACTACAATATGGATTAATATTGAGTTCATTATCTTAAACGAATGAATAACAACAAAGCCTTCATTCCATCTCACATGGAAAATAAGATAGTTTTATTTTTCTCAACACAGAATAAATAAATACTTAATATAGAATCCTCAAAATCGGTTTTCAAATACATATACAGTTCATAGTTTTCAAAATACACAAGACTGGGAATTTTTGCACACACCTAAAATATAGATTATATATATAAATATATTTATTATTATATATTATATATATATATATATATATATATATATATATATATAACTTTAAATTATATATAAGGCCAAATACTACATGAAAGGGATGTTATCAAGGGTGTATTACATGATTCCCTAAAGGATTGAGGGCCTGGTTGCATTGAAATTCAGCAGTCAAAATATGGGCTTCTTACGAAGATGGTGCATAAAGCTTATCGGCACCGAAAGTCGAATCGGCTAGCTGAGTTCAAATTCCGGCTTAGTCTGTTACAGTCGCTTTCGTGCTTATTTTCTCATCTCAGTTACTGGTTAAATAGTAGGGTAGACTGAGCTTTTTTGCCTAAATAGAGAAGGAATATTTTTATACAAAACTATAGAGAAGGCAACGGTAAATTATTCCACTATATTTCTCAAGAAGTCATGGCAATTCACAGATTAAAAAGAAAGGGAAACTGTGGTAGACCTGACGGGATATGATATCAAAAGAACAAAAAATAAAGCGATGAACAATCAGTACTTTAGTTCTAAAGTATATAGCCTGATGTGATTTTTCCAGTTTTGAACTGGCACATATTGGTCAGCACTTGACGTTTATAAAATCATAAGAAAAGCCAAATTCTTTCGGTTATATTCCGGTTTTCTTATAATGTATGTTTGCAATATTACTGTTCTTTTACGGTTAGATAGATGGATCGTGTTTAGATTATTAGCAACAATACGAAAACTAATGCTAGGTATTTATATTTATAATTTATATTCATCACGGCTACTTACAAATATGTCTATGTATATACGAGAGACAATGTGAAAATAAAGTCGTCTTATTTATTTTAACAGAAACAACGCCAGATACGGGTGTGCACAATAACGCCGTTAAATAAAACAAGTTTTCACTTACAAACCATTATTTCTCCCCATAGTCCCAACCATTAGCTGTTTATTTTCGTCAACGATGAACAAAAGTCTGTACAGAGCCGATTGCACACCCCGAACGTAACATGTCACATACATCGATGCTGTCACTACTGAAACGTATTACCTACCACCTAATTCTGCTTATATCCACTGTTTGGTTTCCGTAAACGTTCAGCAAGTATCAATGAATGTCAATAGGAGCTTTATTTTCCGCATGGAGGAATTCAATGGCATACCTCTACCTCATACGTATTTTAATTTCAAATGTGATTTTGCCAGACTTTCGCTGTAATAAGGTAAAAAAAAAATCATGGGTCATTGGTCGGAAGATTTAAAACTCTACTGCTTTACGAGCAACATCAGCATTGACCTTTTGACCCACCATAGGATGCATTACTTTTGGAGCAGCACTCATATAATAGGCATTCTTAAAATCGTACGCATTTATTATTAGCCCCTTTAAATCTATCTATCTATCTATCTATCTATCTATCTATCTATCTATCTATCTATCTAAATCTGCTCATATCTATCAGATTCTGTTCATATCTATCTATCTATCTAAATCTGCTCATATCTATCAGATTCTGTTCATATCTATCTATCTATCTAAATCTGCTCATATCTATCAGATTCTGTTCATATCTATCTATCTATCTAAATCTGCTCATATCTATCAGATTCTGTTCATATCTATCTATCTATCTAAATCTGCTCATATCTATCAGATTCTGTTCATATCTATCTATCTATCTAAATCTGCTCATATCTATCAGATTCTGTTCATATCTATCTATCTATCTAAATCTGCTATATCTAAATTCTGTTCATATCTATCTATCTATCTAAATCTGTTCATATCTCTATCAGATTCTGTTCATATCTATCTATCTATCTAAATCTGCTCATATCTATCAGATTCTGTTCATATCTATCTATCTATCTAAATCTGCTCATATCTATCAGATTCTGTTCATATCTATCTATCTATCTAAATCTGCTCATATCTATCAGATTCTGTTCATATCTATCTATCTATCTAAATCTGCTCATATCTATCAGATTCTGTTCATATCTATCTATCTATCTAAATCTGCTCATATCTATCAGATTCTGTTTCATATCTATCTATCTATCTAAATCTGCTCATATCTATCAGATTCTGTTCATATCTATCTATCTATCTAAATCTGCTCATATCTATCAGATTCTGTTCATATCTATCTATCTATCTAAATCTGCTCATATCTATCAGATTCTGTTCATATCTATCTATCTATCTAAATCTGCTCATATCTATCAATTCTGTTCATATCTATCTATCTATCTAAATCTGTCTCATATCTATCAGATTCTGTTCTATCTATCTATCTATCTATCTATCTAAATCTGTTCATATCTATATCTATCTAAAGATATCTATGTTCTGTTCATATCTATCTATCTATCTATCTATCTATCTATCTAAATCTGCTCATATCTATCAGATTCTGTTCATTATCTATCTATCTATCTATCTATCTATCTATCTAAATCTGCTCATATCTATCAGATTCTGTTGTATCTATCTATCTATCTATCTATCTATCTATCTATCTATCTATCTATCTATCTAAATCTGCTCATATCTATCAGATTCTGTTCATATCTATCTATCTATCTATCTATCTATCTATCTATCTATCTAAATCTGCTCATATCTATCAGATTCTGTTCATATCTATCTATCTATCTATCTATCTATCTATCTATCTATCTATCTATCTATCTAAATCTGCTCATATCTATCAGATTCTGTTCATATCTATCTATCTATCTATCTATCTAAATCTGCTCATATCTATCAGATTCTGTTCATATCTATCTATCTATCTATCTATCTATCTATCTATCTATCTATCTAAATCTGCTCATATCTATCAGATTCTGTTCATATCTATCTATCTATCTATCTATCTATCTATCTAAATCTGCTCATATCTATCAGATTCTGTTCATATCTATCTATCTATCTATCTATCTATCTAAATCTGCTCATATCTATCAGATTCTGTTCATATCTATCTATCTATCTATCTATCTATCTATCTAAATCTGCTCATATCTATCAGATTCTGTTCATATCTATCTATCTATCTATCTATCTAAATCTGCTCATATCTATCAGATTCTGTTCATATCTATCTATCTATCTATCTAAATCTGCTCATATCTATCAGATTCTGTTCATATCTATCTATCTATCTATCTATCTATCTATCTATCTATCTATCTATCTATCTATCTAAATCTGCTCATATCTATCAGATTCTGTTCATATCTATCTATCTATCTATCTATCTATCTATCTATCTATCTATCTATCTATCTAAATCTGCTCATATCTATCAGATTCTGTTCATATCTATCTATCTATCTATCTATCTATCTATCTAAATCTGCTCCTTATCTATCAGATTCTGTTCATATCCATCTATCTATCTATCTATCTAAATCTGCTCATATCTATCAGATTCTGTTCATATCTATCTATCTATCTATCTATCTAAATCTGCTCATATATCTATCAGATTCTGTTCATATCTATCTATCTATCTATCTATCTAAATCTGCTCATATCTATCAGATTCTGTTCATATCTATCTATCTATCTATCTATCTATCTATCTATCTATATCTATCTATCTAAATCTGCTCATATCTATCAGATTCTGTTCATATCTATCTATCTATCTAAATCTGCTCATATCTATCAGATTCTGTTCATATCTATCTATCTATCTAAATCTGCTCATATCTATCAGATTCTGTTCATATCTATCTATATCTATCTATCTATCTATCTAAATCTGCTCATATCTATCAGATTCTGTTCATATCTATCTATCTATCTATCTATCTAAATCTGCTCCTTATCTATCAGATTCATTCATATATCTATCTATCTATCTATCTATCTATCTATCTATCTATCTATCTATCTATCTATCTATCTATCTATCTATCTAAATCTGCTCATATCTATCAGATTCTGTTCATATCTATCTATCTATCTATCTATCTAAATCTGCTCATATCTATCAGATTCTGTTCATATCTATCTATCTATCTATCTATCTATCTATCTATCTATCTATCTATCTATCTATCTAAATCTGCTCATATCTATCAGATTCTGTTCATATCTATCTATCTATCTATCTATCTATCTATCTATCTATCTCAGTCATGGCTTTCACTTACTTTTCTATTGAACGCTTTTATAATACATTAAAAATCTTCCTCTTTTACTACTACTACTACTTTTTCTCATCTTCCTTACATATGTAGATTCATTCTTCGCCTAACTCTCTCATACATATAATTTAATCTTTGTCGTCTTTTCCAATCTACATCCTGTTTCTGTCCCCATTTTTCTGTCTTTACTTCTCATTTCTATCTTTTTGTGTTTCTTTTTGCCCGTTCAATTCCATTCTTTGCCTGTCATGTTGGAAAATAATTTCCTCAGCTGCACGCAAGAAAGCAAAGTGGTACGATTTTTCTGCTCCATAAGAAATTCTTTTCCTGTATTTGTATTAGAAATATCATTGATGCGTTGACATTAAAAGATGTGCCCTCAGGTTAAAGCTATTTCGTTTCGTCACTTTCATATAAACAGTCTTATTTGTTTTCTGTTCATAGTTTTACCTTCCTCATGATTAAGATGCTTTCGGTAGGCTCGAAGGTATGGCACGGAATAAAGAACCTGTTTCAGTGTACTGTTAAATTAGCATAGAGAAGGGAAAACGTTGTTTTAACTGTCCAAGTTCATAGAAATTGTATGACCTCAAATAGAACAAATCCTCTGTTCATTAAAGAAAACGAAGAAGGAACAATTCTTAGAGTTGCTTCTTTTGACGTCGGTATTTTTGTATGACTATATGTAGAGACAAAATAATAAGGAATTGTCTAAGAATGAAATGAAACAGAAATAAGGAGAATTATAGAGAAAAAGGTTTAATCTGATCATATTTGGGTGAGTGTAATCGAAGATAGAAGAAAAAAATTTAGAAGAGTAATTTAACACAACGAGGAAAAATAATGGGTTAAAGAGAGTTATAGTAGGAGGAGAGTGAATGAGAATGAGAAAAAGAGAGAAGACGAAGTGAAAGGGGGAGAAGCGGAGTAATAAACAGCAAAGAAAAGCAAGAGTAAATGAACTAGTGAAGAAAAGTGAATTAGAAGGAAGAATAAAAATGTTTAGCGAATTAAATAGGTTAACGTAAAAGGAAATAAAGAAAGAGAAGAGAAGAGAGGGAATAAAAAGATAAGAAAAACGGGAAAGAGAGAAAGTAAAATAATAATATTCAAAAGAAGAACATATTGAACAGAAAAAAGATTGAAGAAAAGAAGAGAAAGTAGGAAAAATCAAAAGAGAAAAAGAATAATTCTTTTAGAGCGCGGAGAAAAATAAGGAGCGTAGGAATTATAGAAGAAAAAACAAAAACGAAAATATATTTTAAAAATTGCTTCAATCAGACGACCGTACTATTGACAGTTACCGACAACCAACAGATAAATTCGAGAGCAGAATGTTTTCTTGCTGTGATGTGTCATCTGTTCCAGAAAGGATCGTTCGGCTATGAGAATAAATAATTCACACCAGGCTGAAGTGAAGTGTGTAAATTTTCTATTAGGCGTGGTTTTCAAACATCAACTTATATTGAATCTGACAAACATCTCGGTTCTTTTTTTCCTCGACAAGACGAATAAATATTTTTGATCGTCAAAGAAAACCTTTGGTAGTAATGGAAATAATGTTCCCAATTATTGCCTATGGTAACATTCGTATGAATCTTTCTTTTAATGGGAGAAAGCAGAACATTGTTTTAGAAAGTTAATGTAAATAGTGTAGCCTTAGGTACTGCTGTATAAACTTTGATAAAGCCACGAAGCTAAAAGAATGTATTGAAAACATTGCTTATTTACATAAACCCAAATTGTAGTTAGGTGACTCTCAATGAGAACAAAATATAACAAAATCGTTTTTTAATATGAGGCCCATAAAATTTTGTGTAATGGCTGTGTCTTAAAATATTTAATTTCACCAGTTTTAGTTGCAGGTGTCATATTTATTCTTGAATATTCCAATTTAGGACAGTGGGGAAGTGTTTCTTGAAAGACAAATCCTCAAGAACCAGATAATTGTCTATATTTCTGATTTTCCTTGTTTTAAGACCAATTAGCTACAAACAACCTGAATGGATAAAATCCAAGTAAGAATGCGTTGCAACGTTGAAATCTCAAATGTGCTAATGATGTAATAAAAAGCATTAATTATTTAACAAGTAACACATTGCCAGAGTAAACAATACAAATGACGTCTGGTCGTTTTTACGTTGCTAATAAATGCAGTTAATGTTTTTTTTATCAGTTACTTGAGTGTAGATACAGCATTTACAATTCTTTAGTTACGTTTTGTCTCAAAGCAACATCTATTTTAACTTAAACATTCAAACATTTCGTTCAGAACCTTTAACTAAATTGCAAGATTATGATTATCAGGGTCAGGTATATCTGGTATGAGTTATTTTTGATGACACAAATAAATCGAAAATAGGGATCTTGCACGTCCCATTTCTCGGTATTTACTAAGTCCGGCAATTCACATCAGTTCTAACAGTTGATTGCTTTCTTCAGTGGAGAACAAACCGGATGATTCTCCGTTCACATTTTGCTAGTTTATTGGTTCTCATTTCTGTGTGGTTTTAGGGTAGACATGGTGTCAAAATAAGAGAGAGAGAGAGAGAGAGAGAAAAGGAGAAGAGGAGAGAGATATGAAAGAGCGAGTGAGTGTGTGTGTGTGTGTGTGTGAGAGAGAGAGAGAGAATGAGAGAGAGAGAGGTATACTTTGGCGTTGGTAGCTGACTTCACAATGAAAAGTCAACGAGGGAAAGTCCTTTCATTTTATTCTCACTTTTCTTCTTTCTAAAAGATGATTTTAAATCCAAACAGAGTAAAAACAGGACAATTTCCAAGCAATTATTGCAGACATTTGCAAATCAACCTTTCAAGAAACTAGTGCGGTAGAGCAAGGTAAAATCGAAGAATTTAAGTTCTTATTTCTCTTCCAAACTGTTTTGTGGGTAGAACGCTTTATCCCTTAAAAGTATATGGAATAATGTTACGCATAGCCACGAACAATGAAGTAAATGCATATATAAAATGCCATGTTAAATGCATTTTAAGTCATTTTCTTGTAGCAAGGTTTGGCACAAAGTTCCTAGAAAAATAACTGGACTTCTAAACTGAGAATGTGTTTTACAAGCCTTACTAGTAATAAACTTAGTTTTGTACTTAGGAATTCAACACAGATACTTAAATATTTAGTTCTATGAAAGATGGCAGTTGAATTTATATAAAAACATACCAGTGAACTGATTCTACTCTTTATTAAACATACACTATTTTGACCTCACAGTAGAAAGGTCACTTAGATGCCAATAATAATTAAATAAGTAAATTTCTAAGATCAAGGATATTAAAACTTTAATTGAATGAGGGAAAACAATCCTTTGTAGCAAACTATTCTTTACTTATTTAGAGCAGATTACATTTAATGACTAATGAACACTATGTATTCGTCTCTCTTGAAAAGCATGTAATAACTTAAGGTCAAATAATCTCAAAATCATCGGGTTTCGTCATTTATTCGAATGTCTGCTTGTGAGCCAAGTAGTGTAAGGATAAATACCATGAAGAAGAGACTTGAAGCAACAGAAATGTGGTTATCAGAAGGATGCTGAGGATACCATGGACCGTATATGTGAGCAACAACGAAGTTTTAGGGAAAATGGAATCAACTTATACTTGATATCAGGAAGGGACAGTTTAAATTTCTAGGGTAGATATTGAGGAAGGAGGGCTTGGAAAATCTGATACTCACAGAACAGACTGAGGGCAAGAGGAACAGAAGAAAACAACGCATAGCATACTTAGTGAACTTGAATAATTGAATAGCAGAACAGAGTTTAGGGTAATTAACAAAATACAACATTTATTAAGAGCTACGACAGACAGGAATTTGTCGAGAGGCATGATCGTCTATGTCCTGAAGGGACACGGCACACGGATCTTGTGTCTATTCAAAGCATGGTAAAAGTTGATACAATGGTCATTGTAAACTGGTTGCTAGCTGGTCCTACAAATTTTGCTAACTAGCTATATGCACTTTCATACTATTTACCATCATTAAAATCATCTGCTCAGTGGCAGAAACGACGTTACTTTACCTCTGATGACAAAAATTAGCGTTCGAGCCAAGTTCATAATTGAAATGCAGATTTTCCGGTTTGGTAGGCCCACGACTCTTGGGAAATTGACATAGCATAGGCTTCACTTAAACAGTCAGTACATTTGCATCTATCTATCTATCTATCTATCTATCTATTGGTTCAAGTCTATTATATTGTCGATCAAAATTAGTACAACCCAATGTTCCTATTAAAATTATTTCAAGTATATTCTATCTATCTATCTATCTATCTATCTATCTATCTATCTATCTATCTATCTATCTATCTATCTATCTATCTATCTATCTATCTATCTATATATTCATTATCTATCTATCTATCTATCTATCTATCTATCTATCTATCTATCTCCGTATATTCATTATCTATCTATCTATCTATCTATCTATCTATCTATCTATCTCCGTATATTCATTATCTATCTATCTATCTATCTATCTATCTATCTATCTATCTATCTCCGTATATTCATTATCTATCTATCTATCTCCGTATATTCATTATCTATCTATCTATCTCCGTATATTCATTATCTATCTATCTATCTCCGTATATTCATTATCTATCTATCTATCTATCTATCTATCTATCTCTATCTATCTATCTATCTATCAATTGGTTAAGACTATTATATCTATCGATCAAAATCTATCAATCAATATCTTATTAAAATTATTTCACATATTCTATCTATCTATCTATCTTATCTATTATCTATCTATCTATCTCCGTATATTCATTATCTATCTATCTATCTATCTATCTATCTATCTATCTCCTCGCATATTCATTATCTATCTATCTATCTATCTATCTATCTCATATATTCATTATCTATCTATCTATCTATCTCCGTATATTCATTATCTATCTATCTATCTATCTCCGTATATTCATTATCTATCTATCTATCTATCTATCTATCTATCATCTATCTATCTATCTATCTATCTATCCATTCTATCTATCTATCTATCTATCTATCTATCTCCGTATATTCATTATCTATCTATCTATCTATCTATCTATCTATCTATCTATCAGCGGTTTCTTAGGTGGATAAAACGATAACGAGTTTACTCCTGCTATCATTTATTAGTGTTCGAATTCATTTTAAAGTTTTCAGATGTCGGCTAAAAACGTGAACAACTCTTCTCCACACATCTTACAGTCTTATTCCTTAGCAGTTATCATATTCGTATACTTGTAAAATCTTTGTGTTTCTTATATTATCTATCTGAGAAAATAACAAATTGCTTGCAGCAAAATATACATTTCTACTTTAGGACATCCAATAATCAATAAGTGTACATGATATACAAGTAAAATATAATACATTCTTCCATTTGGTATAATTAAAATGAAAGTGTCATTTGCAGATTGCCAACAGCTAAAATGTACTTTATATAAAGTGATTTTTTGTGAACATCTAAAATAAATGTTTTGACTTGATCGCGTCAAATCCTTTTTTCCGAATCTGTCCACAATTTCCTTGTGAGTTGATTTTGACCCTCTGCCAACTGTCTGCTCGAATCTGTAATGAGCTTTCGCGATAAAATCAGTAGTGGTTATATTTCCTACACAATTACTCCAGTGTAGAAGGTTGTACAATGATCAAACCTCGAATAATAAATTTCAGAAATTATTTTTTCTTTAGTATTAATTTTTTACTCATTTCTCAATTTTTCTTTCAACTCACAGATCAGCATTCTACAGATGTTAGTATGACGCACAATAACAGAAAAAAGATCAAAGAATAAAACTCGGACGAAACTTGAAAACTCATTTTTAGTTCTTGTCTCAAACTGCCAGCTGTATACAACCACTTTCTAAGATCAGTGGTGAAATATGCTTTGAGTGAGTGAAACATTAAGGTCTTTAAACATTGTAGAGTGGCGATACAAATTCATAAAGAACTGTACCAAATAACAGAAACAACAATCACTTGAGAACTATTAACAACAGCAACAACTAAAATGGATAGTATATATAAATCGAAGAGAAAATAATGACATAATTAAGATGCTGATATTCCCCATTACTTCAAATAAGAGGTGAGGAAGGATCCCTTCATCACTACTAGAAAGGGTGATGATAGCTACTGGACATTAAAAAAAACAAAAAAAAACTATTTTCCTGAAAGATTGTTTTAAGTGAAATACTTTTAAAATTTCAAGCGAAGGTAGTATTAGCTGCTCGGTCAATGAATGCCGAATGCTTCCTTATATGAAACGGCTAATATTACCATTAAAATTACCATTCTACAAACATTCGTCTTATCCACCAGGTACAAAGTCCAAACGGTAGGAGTCATCCAAATCCTATCTAGCTCAACCTAATTGGTAAAGCAGACGCGGCGTAAAAGCATGGTATGATACATTTAAATTTTGTTGTGATTTTTTTCTCCCAAATAATTTCTCATCAAAATTAAAAAAAAAAAACACAGAAAAGGGTTTTTTTTTTTATGTATGAGTGTGTTTGGGATATGGCCCGATTCACCCAAAATTCATATGATGCGTAGAACTAAATGCTGGAATAAGTACTTGGATTGATAGATTGGGATTTGCTCCAATTCCTGTTTTATATGCTAATGGATGGCGCTATTCGGGGGTAACCGTCCTCTAGGATATAACTTAGTCCCTATTGCAGACGTTGCCCAGGCGCATTTTCTGCTTGTTCAGCCACCAACAGAACCCACCTGGTGGTTTATACTGCAACTATGCTGAGCAGACCTTGTTACAAGTTCTCATGAAAGAAGCGTGTTATCTAACGTGATCAAGTATGGTTTTCAGGCACTTTCCAGAGGCAGTCAACGATAACATCTAGAAGTCATTTTTCTCGACCATGTTGAGAAAGAAAATGTTCTAACCACTGACCATTACATGCTGTTTATGTGTAATGTTTTTTGTAAATCAGATTATATTTTTTTGAATCCTGTAAGCAATAATGTTTTTTTCAGATCTTCAAAACACACACACGCACACATATTCAGGATAAACAGTACAAAAAAGCATTTGATAATGTACGATGAGAACCTATTTGGCAATTTACCGGGGTAAATTGCCTGCATGGAGAGGAAACGGGCTAAAAGCAATTACACATATATATATATAGAGAAAGATCACTGCCAAAAATGCGTTTTTCTCATCAGTTTTTTAACTTCCTCAAGCAGACGATTTTAAGAGAACTAGAAGACGAATCAGAATTTATGATCTTGGTCATAATCTTAAGAACTTATGATATGCAAGTGAAATTGTGTTGATCGTAGATTCGGAAGGAAAAAATGCAAGAACTAAAGTAGGTATCAAAGGAAAGCGAGAAGAAAAAAAACTAATTATTAACTGTAAGAATACAGAATGTATGGTCGTCAGAAAGAAAGAAGGCTAAAGCCTTGAACTTGAATTGGTGACATTAAAATAAAGCAGTTATTTTTTTTAACTAATTGGTAGTGGTAACAGAATACGGAAAATGTGACACAGAAAGTAAGCAAAAGGTGTGATGATATAGAAAAACAAAGAAACAAAGAAATGTGTACTAACCGTACTGCCTCTCCAAGTTTGTTTTTTTGTGATTACTGACAACTTTATTATATTGTAATAATGGCATGACCCCCCCTCTCTTCATTCAATTTGAAATACACTCATTTTTTTACTGATAAAGCAGAATGTTTTGCTCAAAATTCTCTTTCAATTCTACTCTTGACATCTGTAATATCCCTACCTGATTTTCACTTAGAACTGAATCTCTGGTGTGTAATGCACATAACTTCGTCCATAGTTTTATTGTCATTTCTAAACTTGGTCCCCACAAAGCATGTGGCATTCTTATAACTATCTTAAAAAATGTGCCCCACTAAGCTTTACAATGAATTCATTGCAGTTTATTGCTTTCCAGTTTGTTGGAAAACCCTCTTCTGTAGTTTTTTTTTTTAAAAAAACACGGGCGAACCGTATGATCTTTCAGAACTATTGACTTATTTGACTTTTTGGCAAAAAAGTACTAGTGACACTAATCAATTCCAAATTGGTTCAAGAATCCCACTTCGCAGGGTCTTCTGTCAGACAAACAATATGAATCTTCTTCTCTAGGTCAACAGTTCATGTGTTAGCGGTTATTACAAAAGTGTCTGTCGAAGCATTAGATAAGGACAGTGTGGCCAGATTTTTTATTTTGAATATCTCAAAAGACGTTTGACACGATTTTGCATGTTGGTCTTCTTCACAAGTTGAAGGGTTATGGTGTTTCTAGTCTGAATTTTTGATTTGATTCAATCTTATTTTTTAAATCCCGAAATGAAGGTTGTCTTGAACAGTCACTGTTGTCGATCTTTATATAAATACGGGTTTCCTATTGGCCTGGATCATTGGATTTACTTTGCTTTCAAATTTTATCAATGAGTATCGATGTGATCAGTTCTCGACACACCCATTTTCACGTGTCTTAATGTCTGATAATTTCGATAAAGTCAAATGGGCATCTTACTTCGAAATATGATTTTCAATATGTTGGTAACTGAGACAAAGGCATAACTTTTAACGCTTCCAAACTAAAACTTCCCTCTTTTTTAAATGTCTTAGAGAAGCTTTTTTGCCTCCATCTGCTTGGTTGATGCTAACATCAATGAAATTAACTCATTGCGACTTTTTTTCCACTGGTATGAATTGGAATGATTATATCAGGAGGTCAATTTAGGTCTCCCTCTAGAAAAGCTGGTTCTCTGAGTCGTGCTAGAAATTTTTCTCGACAGAATCTACCTTGTATCGTTATAAATCCACCATTCGTTCGTGCATTTTTATTTTTGCCACATCTAGTGATATAATCTTTGCTGTTAACGTTCTAAACTAACTCAAACAAGGTTGGAAGAAACTTTACCATCAATACTGGAAGAGCGATAATAGTGGATTTGAGAAGCATATTTTTCCCCGAAACACTGTTTTAATATAAAGTTTTCATAACAGAAACAACAATCACTTGAGAACTATTAACAACAGCAACAACTAAAATGGATAGTATATAAATCGAAGAGAAAATAATGACATAATTAAGATGCTGATATTCCCCATTACTTCAAATAAGAGGTGAGGAAGGATCCCTTCATCACTACTAGAAAAGGGTGATGATAGCTACTGGACATTAAAAAACAAAAAAACTATTTTCCTGAAAGATTGTTTTAAGTGAAATACTTTTTTTAAAATTTCAAGCGAAGGTAGTATTAGCTGCTCGGTCAATGAATGCCGAATGCTTCCTTATAAGGAAACGGCTAATATTACCATTAAAATTACCATTCTACAACATCTGTCTTATCCACCAGGCTACAAAGTCCAAACGGTAGGAGTCATCCAAATCCTATCTAGCTCAACCTAATTGGTAAAGCAGACGCGGCGTAAAAGCATGGTATGATACATTTAAATTTTGTTGTGAAGATTTTCTCCCCAAATAATTTCTCATCAAAATTAAAAAAAAAAAAAAAACACAGAAAAGGTGATTTTTTTTTTTATGTATGAGTGTGTTTGGGATATGGCCGATTCACCCAAAATTCATATGATGCGTAGAACTAAATGCTGGAATAAGTACTTGGATTGATAGATTGGGATTTGCTCCAATTCCTGTTTATATGCTAATGGATGGCGCTATTCGAGGGTAACCGTCCTCTAGGATGGCTAGCGAATCCCTATTGCAGACGTTTGCCCAGGCGCATTTTCTGCTTGTTCAGCCACCAACAGAACCCACCTGGTGGTTTATACTGCAACTATGCTGAGCAGACCTTAGTTACAGTTCTGTGAAAGAAGCGTGTTATCTAACGTGATCAAGTATGGTTTTCAGGCACTTTCCAGAGGCGATCCCAACGATAACATCTAGAAGTCATTTTCTCGACCATGTTGAGAAAGAAAATGTTCTAACCACTCGACCACATGCTGTTTATGTGTAATGTTTTGTAAATCAGATTATATTTTTTTGAATCCTGTAAGCAATAATGTTTTTTTCAGATCTTCAAACACGCACACACACGCACACATATTCAGGAGTAAACAGTACAAAAAAGCATTTGATAATG